AGCACCTGCGGGTAAGTCTTGCATGGCCTTAGGTCTGTTAGTGAGTCACTAAGGGCATCTCTAAGAAGGAGAAGGGGCATGATGAAGCTTGTCTGATCTCCTTTCTCATGGCTAGCAACTCAGTTTTAGGAATCCCTTTAGCCAAGAGGGAGTCTAGTCAGTCAGTTGCTAGGGGGAAGCCTTAGATTTTATTTTAGTTCACATCTAGAAGCATGTATTTTTTCATAATGGAATTTTTCAAGATGCCATAGAATGTTTACTAACAGTCTCAACTATCTTTAGTCTCTCTGTAATAAGAAACTGTAAAGGTGGCAAACTTTTATCTTGATCCTCTTAGTGTTGGCTTTGTTTTAGTTTTGCCTTGGTTTTGGCTAGGCCTGAGAATTAAACTGTTATTTGTTCAGATTTCCCTTAGCCTCAATTTTTCATCCTTTGTGATAAGAATGTTAAAACCTTCTGGCATAGTAGGGGGATAGTCTTCACATGGGAATTTTATCTTTTATTAAGTTTTTTGTTCATAATTATGCTTGGAATGCTTGTGAACATGAGACATTAAATAGCTAGCCATCTTTTTAACGTATTATTCTTGCTGACAAGTTTTATAATATAGAGATAATGTGAACTTATTTTACTAAATAAACCTAGGTAAGAGGTTTCCATCTGTATTACACTTACTGCTAACAGCTCTGAAGACACTCCTGCTTTAATCAAGCCCACACACTTTACTAGGTTTTATTCACCAAACATTATCCTAGATTTTGTGTACTTGGAAAACATTTTAGGTTTGTTTCTCAGAGTTTAAAGAATACACACTAAATTTTTAAAAAATAAATCTCTTTTACAATTTTGGCAATACCATAAAAAAGTAGAAAAATGTCACATGTATATGACATACATTTTGACATACATAAACATGTACACAAAAACAGATTTTATAGTTTTCATTTTAAAAATGGAGCCACATGCCAGGTGCAGTAATACAAAATTCACTTTTAGGCAAATTGTTTTTTTGGCCAGTAGAACAAGATTACCCACCCAGATGGATAAAGCTTTTGAGTTGACTAATACTGGTAGAAGGACTTAAGTCTTTTTCATTTGCCTGTCTAAGGAATCTTTTAAAGAGGGATTCTTTCATTTAATCTTTTGATACCTCTGTGTACCGTGAAAGAATGCATCCTGTTGCTTTTGTGTCATCTTGGATCCTTTCTTTCCTTTTTTAAACAGTCTCAAGCTGTTTCCCTGGGTAGAATGCCATGATATCATAGCTCACAGCAACCTCCAACTCTTGGGCTCAAATGATCCTTTTGCCTCAGTTTTTTCATTTTTAGTAGAGACAGGGTCTTGCTTTTACTTAGGCTGGTCTCGAACTGATTAGCTCAAGCCATTCACCCTCCTCAGGTGTCCCAGAGTGCTAGGATTTCAGGCGTGAGCTGACTGTGGGGACTAATGCTTTCTTTTATAATGTGCCTTAAAAATGAATCATTTTATCTAGGTTAAAACTTCACCACTGTGGCTGCTGTAATTCTGAGTTGGTCTTAATAAAGCTAATTCATTTTTTAAAAAATACACGTCTGGGCCCATAATTTTTTTTTTTGCAGTTTTTGGCTGGGGCTGGGTTTGAACCCATCGTCTCCGGTATCTGGGGCCAGCGCCCTACTCCTTTGAGCCACAGGTGCCACCCTGGGCCCATAATTTTTAAACATAAATTTAGCCAGTATCCCAGAAAGTCGAGGCCCAGACTCCTGGAGTCCCAGATTCCCTAGATTCAGAGGAACCTATTTTCAAAAGGTACTTGCCTGAGACTTCCAACTGGATCCAATCCAATTAATTATCAGATCAAATCCAAACCTCTACCTAGTTGAGTAAAAGTTGCTCAAATAAACAAATCTATGGAGCTTAAATCCAAAAGGGAAATTGCTCATGACCTCCAGTTGCTATAAGAGATGAGTGGGCACAATAGGCCTTGGCTGGTACCTTTGCACAGACACTCCTAGGGATCCCACACTGATGCCAAATTGTTAAAAGAAAAGTTTTAGGCAAATTAAATTTAGCAGAGTTTATTTGAGTCAAAAAGTGACTCATGAATCAGGGAAAACTCAGAACCAGAGGATGTTCAGAGAACTCTGCCCAGCAGCAGGAGTAGCTAGCTTTTGTAGGCCTGGTATAAGAGACTAGAGACATCACCCGATTGACTGCAGGTGGGCATCTTCCTTACTGGGACATTTTGTGATGATTTGCTGGCCTGTGATTGGTTGAACTCAGTGGTTTGTTGTGCTCTTAGATTTTAGTTTGTTTGCAGGATAAACTATGTTGCAGTAGGAATTCAAGGTATAGAGCCACCCTCCAACCAAATTTAAGTTCATTCAACAAAGGCCATATTCATAGAAACAATTGTGCTTATATACATGTATGGACTTTCTAAAATAATAAACTTTGGGTTAATCTATGAATCTAGCAGATAGCTTTGTATTTCTTTAAGGCAAATTTTCTTTTTCTTTTCCTTCTTTCCTCTTCCTCCATTCTTCTCCCCCCCCCCACCTTTTTGTCTCCTTATCTGAAGCTATCCAGTAAAGATGTGAAAGTGTAGATAATGACCTTTCAGGGACTGGAAATATTTTACCATATCAAAGAAATTAAAGGAGTTATTGAAAGATGGTCTCCTTCTAACTTTCTTTTCTTATATGAGAAAAAGCTTTGCTACAGTCCTCATGGATAGAAATGAAAACTGACACTAGAAAAATATGCATAGTAGTTTCTTGTTATACTTGAGGGATTGGTTCCAGGACCCTTTGTGCGTACCAAAATCAACTTGTACTCAAATCCTGCAGTTGGCCCTGCAGAATTCTCATAAACTACATAGGAAAAGTCAGCTTTCCATGTACATGGGCTTCCAGTCCTGTGAATACTGCATTTTTGATCTGTGTTAGGTTGATAAAAATCTGGTTATAAATGGACCTGCGCAGGTCAGATCCATGTTGTCCAATGGTCAACTGTATATTTACAGGTCACATTTCATCTGAAGGGCTTCCATCTCTACTACATAAGATGTTATAGTGGGCTGGGCATGGTGGCTCATGCCTATAACCCTAGCACTCTGGGAGGCCGAGGAGGGTGAATTGCCTGTGCTCAGGAGTTCAAGACCAGCCTGAGCAAGAACTAGACCCCTAAAAATAGCTGCGTATTGTGGTAGGCGCCTGTAGTTTCAGCTACTGGGAAGGCTGAAGCAAGAGGATCACTTGAGCCCAGGAGTTTGAGGTTGCTGTGAGCTGTGATGCCATGACACTCTGCCAAGGGCAACAAAGTGAGACTCTGTCTCAAAAAAAAAAAAAAAAAAAGATGTTATGGTGAGCTATTGTCAAAGAACGCATCTCACAGAAACATTATGAGAGTCCAATAGATTCAAAAGAGAATCCTACAAAAGTTTGGAGAGTGAGACGGAAACAAGGGCTTTTTGACATTCAATTCACTGTATTTTTGAATTCCAGCAAGGTTTGATCTCCTTGGCCCAACATATCTAGCAGGAAATTGTTCTTGAGCGAGGCTGCAAATGAATGTTTGCTATACTTCTGACATGTTATGGCCCTAACATATGGAAGGGAGGAGATGCTCAGCAAATATTTGTAAATTGCACTGAAAGGAAATAAACATTCCAAGTGAGTTAGTCAACCTCATGTTGTTTGATTAGAAGTAATTTCTCTTTGATTGTCTCATTGCCTATAAATGCTTTTCATTTGCGTATAATGACAACTCCGTTATGAAGAGTCTCTGAATAACTTCATGTTTCATTTTCCACTTGTACTCCCCATGGACCTGGCAAGTACCTCTTCTACTCTGTATGGAGCCTGTTTTGCATCCTGCAAAGACCAAACACAGTTACATTTAACCCGTCCTTTTCTTCAGAAGAATACTTCTCAAATCATCTCTAATTTTTCAGCATTTTACAGTAAAAGGGAATCAGGTTATAAGGATTCTCTAAGAGAATTTAACATTTAATGTTTTCATTTCTGTGACAATTAAAATTTATCAACACAAGCATAGTCAGAAGGGGTATTATATCAGACATGGCCAGGCAATTTTAGATGTTCATCATTTGTGATCATGGTTAGTTTGGGGCCTTAGTAACATGTATTGGTACAATGTAGTAACATTTTACTTATCACCAGTGAGTGATAGGAAGGAGATTGATGAAATGCTTGGGATTTCTCATAAATCAACAGTGCTGTATGTCTGAGAAATAGAGGAAAGGAGAACTCAGTCATCTCTGAGCACTGGGGAGCTTGTGTTACGAGACGAAGAGGGTCCAGCTGCCTGTCACTGTCAACCAATATGCAGAGATGGGAATATGTCCACCACACTTTGTCAGAAGGCCAACAATTCTGGAGAACAGTGAGAGTAGCCTCTCTAAGCCTGTTCTGTTCTTCCATTTCCAAAATCACAGATTAGTGCAGAGGTGTCTAGGTGTTCAAGGAGAATGAGGGATTAGGGACGGGCTATAGCAGGGGCCAGAGCAGAGTCAGGGATGTGAAAAATTACAAAAATCAGGAAGTGTGGGTTAGTCTGTGTGAAACCCAGCTGGTTTTGCTAACGGGTGCTTATCAAAATGAGATTCCTAACCTTCCATAGAGGCTGGGAGACAGGAGCCCTATCCTCAGGACTTGATTAAAACAAACAGTACATTCTTTTTAGCAGTTTTGAGTTTTATCAGGAAGGTACTTTAAGGGAGCTAGCATCATCTTAGGGATGTAGCCTTGAGCTGTTAGAAACTATATTATTATTTGTTCAAGTTTTTATAGGTCAAAATTAAGCCCTAGTTGAGATGATTTAAAGAAGCCTAACTAGAGTTTGGTATAGGAGAGAGTCTTTGTTAGTAATAGTTATAGAGTGACAGTGTGTCCTCACTTTCTTATGATATATGGTGATTGCTTTGTATTAACTGTTGTTAAAAGAGCTTGATTTTAAAATCTTAATCAAAAAGAATCTATTATACTATTTTGTTTTAGGGCCGAGATCTGGACCGTAAAATTCAGGAATATAAGGAAGCTGGAAAAACCTTTTCAGAAAATCAAATAATAGAATGGTTTATCCAGCTGCTGCTGGGAGTTGACTACATGCACGAGAGGTATGTTCACTTGCTACTGGGGAAAGAATATGTTTTTCATAGTCATGTCTGAACTCAAAGTTTTTTTTTTAGTAGAACTTAAAAGGAAAGAAGTCTAAAAGGGTAAATGGCTATAGCTAAACATTTATAATATGTTTTTTCTTGAGGAAACTGCTGAATTATTATATCCAGAGGATTAACTTGCATGGCTATTTTAGTTGTTGTTCTAGAAATGCAGCAGGACTGGAATATATGAGAGAAACTTGGATTAAACACATTTTCTTCCATTGGATCATCTCTTGTGTCTTAGGAGAGATTCTCAGATGCCTTTAGCACAATGTGAATTTGTTGTATTTTATAAGTAGCAGTCTTGAGTTATAAATACCTTACTATGCTACAAATGAACTGCATGGTCAACTTAGAATGTGCTGGTGTACATTTAGCTAGGTATATATCCCAAATGAACTGAGTAATTAAGGCAGACCATATTCTATGGCCTCAGATAAATATTCAGACAAAAAGTCAGTTTTGACATGACATATCTGATAAAGAAGAGCAAAGTATTTTTATGAGTTTTCAGTTATCTATGATTGACATTTATAACCTCTGCCTCAAAAAATGTATTTTAAAACTTTTTATTTTTTGAGAAAGAGTCTCATTCTGTCACCCATGTTAGAGTGCTGTGACATCATAGCTTACAGCAACCTGGAACTCTTAGGCTCAAGTGATGCTCTTGCCTCAGCTTCCCCAAGTAGCTGGGATTACAGGTGCCCACTATAACACCCGGCTATTTTTTTAGTGATGGAATCTCTCTCTAGCTCAGGCTGATCTCAAACTCCTGAGCTCAGGCAATCCATTGGCCTCAGCCTCTCAGAGTGCTAGGATTACAGGTGTGAGCCACTGCACCTGGCCTTAAAACTCTTTGTGAGTTTTCCATACACCAAAAGTAAGAAGTTTTAGCTGTTGAATGTTATATAGACTCAATGAACACATTTGAAAAGATAAACATACAAAGGCAAAGTAGGTACTCTGAGGGACTATAGTAGCTTTCACTTTGGAGTGGGAACAAAAATAATTATTTATAGGGCCAAGGTCTAGCTATTCATGAATGTCAGATTGCCTAAATGTGCCATTTGTGGTTTCTGACAACATAAAAAGTAATCAGATTATTCTGCAATTCTCCATGTATCTTCTGAAACATATGCCCTATGATACAGATGGTTACTGATTTATCGACAACTTACAACCATCTATTGAATGATGTCAAACTATCCTTAGCAATGGTAAAAAAAAATCAAATCTTTTAATAAACTACCCAAAGCTGTTAAATATTAGACTTCTGTGTACATACTGTTGTATTAGTATTTCTTTTATTTTCTTTACTACTTCTTGGCATTTTATTAGCTTATATATAAGAAAACAAAACAAAACAAACAAACACGTGAACTCTGATCTATGTACAAAATATAAAATCTGAAGTATGGTTGATTTAAGGACCCAAATATTTTTGATAAATTTGAGACTGCTTAGTGAAAGTTAAAATAGCAAGTTCAAAATAACCCTTCAAGGAGATGAATATATATTTTTTAAATCCTGTCATTTTCTTTTTTTTTTTTTTTGAGACAGAGCCTCAAGCTATCCCCCTGGGTAGAGTGCCATGGCATCATGCTCACAGCAACCTCCAACTCCTGGGCTCAAGCGAGTCTCCTGTCTCAGCCTCCCAAGTAGCTAGGACTACAGGCGCCCGCCACAACGCCTGGCCATTTTTTGGTTGCAGCCATCATTGTTGTTTGGCAGGCCCAGGCTGGGGATTCAAACCTGCCACCTTAGGTGCATGTGGCTGGCGCCTTAGCCGCTTGAGCCACAGGCGCCGAGCCAAATCCTGTCATTTTCAAAGAAAATCATTAAATGAGACTATCTGGATATTTATGGATCTGAAATACCATCTTTTGTGATTCACATAAAAAATGATGGTGCCTCTTATTCATTATGTTATTATAACCAATTATTGTAAAGTTTTTATGTATGAAGAAATTTTGCTTTTATGTTTTAATTTATTCATTCATTAAATCGTGATAGATTAAAAATAAGTATCAGGGACAGACACAGTAGCTCACTACTAGTGAGCACTCTGAGAGGCTGAGGTGGATGGATTACCTGAACTCAGGAGTTTGAGGCCTGCCTGAGAAAGAGCAAGACTCCATCTCCAAAAAATAGCTGGGCATTGTGGCAGGTACCTATAGTCTCAGTTACTTGGGGAGGGTGAGACAAGAGGATCACGTAAGCCCAAGAGTTTGAGGTTGCTGTAAGCTATGATGCCACGGCACTCTACCCAGGGCAACAAAGTGAGACTCTGTCTCAAATAAATAAGTACATAAATAAGTGTCAATGGCTGGGCACAGTGGCTATAATCCTAGAACTCTGGGAGGCCAACTTGGGTGTATTGCTTGAGCTCAGGAGTTCAAAATGAGCCCAAGCTAGAGCAAGACCCTAGCTCTACTAAAAGTAGAAAAAATTAGCCAGCCATCATGACAGGTTCCTGTAGTTCCAGCTACTAGGGAGGCTGAGGCAAAAAGGATCTCTTGAGCCGAGTTTGAAGTTGCTGTGAATTATGGTTGAGCAATGTCAACCCAAGGGGACAGAGTGAGACTCTTGTCTCAAAAAATGAAAGAAAGAAAGAGAAGGAAGGAAGGAGTTTCATTTAAAAAATAAATAAATGCCAACCTCAAAGAGTTGTTAGAAAGTTGCAGAGATAAAACATGTACTCCCCTAACTATAAGCTTTGTAACATGGTAGATGTACAGAATTTGGTATCTCTACTGTATAATAGATTCATGACCTTGGGCAGGTTGATGAACCTCATTGAGTCTTTGTTTCCTCATCTATAAAATAAGAATAAGAACGGGACTCTCTCTGCTTACCTTATAGGTCTATAGGAAATATGCATTGATATATTATCTATTTTAAAAGTTTGCAAACTGTTAAGCTCTATGTAATGATATTGTTTGTGGTTACAATTCAATATAGAAATGAGAGCACAGGCAGCGGGTAAGGAAAAAATTTCTGACAAGAACCATATTGGCAAGGATGTGGAGCAACTGGAATTCTCTTATATTGTAGATAGGGTGTATTGTACATTGTTATAAATACTTTGGAGGAATGTTTGATAGTACTTTCTAAGCCGTGACCCAATAATTCTATTACTGAGGGTAGAAATGAGTGAGTGCTGATGCCTAACAAAAGATGTCAAAAATTTCCACTGAAGTCTTATTTTTAATAGTCAAAGCAGTAAAAATTGTTCATCTATAGTGAAATCATTAAATAAATTATGGTATAGTCATAATATAGACTTTTAAAATTACTTATTTCTAATTTAAAAAGAATACACAATTGTTATATATGACCAGACTGAATTTCAGAGATACTATGTAGGGTGAAAGAAGCCAGATGCAGAAGAATGGTCTATCATCTTGATCTAGGTGGACAATAACAATATTGAGAATGTGTGTAAAAATTTATGAAGTTTAACATTTATGTATCTAATGTAAGTTACACACTAACTTAAAACAAATGATTAGAGTGCCAAGAAAAGTACAATTTAAATGCTCTAGGAGAACAGAAGAGGGATAATATTTCCATTTGGGGCAATCAGTGATGGCTACGTCTTGGAAGAAGTAGCATTTGACCTAAGGAAGGTTTTGAATATATTGAAAGATGAGTTAGAGTTTTCCAGGCTTAGGGAATAGAGTGAGCAAAGGAACAGAAGTGGGAAAACATGAGACTTTCAGAATGAATGGCGAGTGGTGCTGTTAAGAAGACTTGGGATACATGAATAAAGTTGTCGGCAAAAGTTGGCTGAGATCTAGAGGGCTTTATTTTGTAACATAGTGAAGCTAAATATAACTGAAAGGCTGAAACAGTGGTACCCAGACACAAGACGGGGAGAGGAGAGGTTCAATCCAGGTTTATGAAAGGATCAGTGACCTGACCAGGCAGGGTGAAAATGGCGTTGGAGCCTGGGGGCAGTTAGAGACCCCTCTCATATGGGGCCCTAGCAAGTGGGAAAATTCCACAGCTTGCCCGAGGGCTTTGGTGACTTAGGGTCTTTTGGTAAGAATTTCTTCAGGGAGTGGGACTAACTCAGTCTTTTGTGTTTTTTGTTTTAGGGCCATAGTAGGACCCCCAACAGTGCCCAGAGCTTGCTTTGGGAAGATTAGATGATAAATTATACAGATGGAGAAGGGTAGTTGGGTTATCAATCAGGAACCTTTTATGGTAATATCCATGTTGGCAGCAGAGGGCAGAATGTGGAAGGATGAGAACGCACTTGATAAGGTGAAATGAGGGAACATGAAATTAAGTGAATATATGAGATGTGATGGAAGGTCAGAGATAAACCTGAGGTTTTGTAGGTCAAGGTGAAGTTGAAAAGACAAGTTTGAAACAATGGCACTGAGTTTAATTAAATGAGATAGAGAATGAAGGGAGAGAGGGGAAATTGAGAAAAGGAATTCTGAATTGAGGCCCTGGATGTTGAGGAAACTTCAGATTTTGTCTTTGTTTGGGTTCCTCTGATGTCAGAGCTCCAAGACAAAGCTTGGAATACAAGCAGCTTAGTTAGGTGGTAAGCTTAGGAAGCAGAAGTCTTCCTAAGGGAAGAGTGAGACAGGGAAATGATAAAAGCCATGCAGTGTGCATCATTGAGCTGGTGGCTACCTTGAGTAGAGGGATGATTCTCTTCTAAGTATGTTGTAGGTTTGGGGTTTCTCTTCCTGCATTCTTTCAGGGATTTTTGAAAAAAATCCTTTCGTTTGTATAACTATCATTTTTAGCACTATTATTAATGTCCTATTGAAATTTTTCTTATATATCTGGGAAGTTGGGGTGGGGAAGGGGAAGAAGGTGTCTTGGTTTGATCTAATTTCCAGTAGTTTTTAAATGGAGAAGTGATGTAAGTTATGTCTCATCATAAATATACAATGTACATTTTGCTTCTGTTAGTCTTTAATATTTAATTTAGT